GTGAACTTCCTGAATTGGAATCTCTGTGTTGGAGCCCAAGAACCTGTGTTTTATACACCTACACCACACTTGCACTCACCATGATTTACTAGTAAAGCCAAATTTGGGGAACATAGAACTGTGATAAAACAATGGTTTTGAAACTCTTTGTTGAAGAAACATGGGATATAATTAAGAAGGAGGACACAATAGTATTAATATTTATTTATTAAATATATTCTATGTACACATCATATGCATTTTAAAAATGTATGAAACACATAGTAATTCTTTCTGTTACTTTCTATTTTAGGATTTTGTTTTGCAAAAAGGCTATCGTGATTAAATTGTCCTCTGAGATTTTTGTGAAGACTTTTTGGCTGGTTTATGAAAGCTTATTGTGGTTTGATATAAAGAGACTCAAGTTATGAGTCAGAAAAGTCCTAAGGTTCCATTTGGACCATGTCATTTAACTAGGTTTGTAAACCTAGACAAATCACTTCATCCCCTTAAACTTTGGTTGCCTTATCTATAAAATGAAGATCATTATACCTTTCCTTCTTATCAAAGCCATTAGAAGGATCACTTATTATATGTGATAGTGCTTCATTATTTACAGTTTAATTTTAAGATGTATTATTTTTAGAATTCTTATATTGGTTTAAATTTGGATAGATTCTGTTATTTACTTTACATTTACTGATGGCATTGGCTCTCATTCCCAGCTTTACAAATGTCCTGAGCTTTCCATAAACGAGGCAAAGGCACCACCGGGACTCCTAGTGGGATGATACTCCAAGTCGGCATGCATAAGTGAAAAGGAGTGGCTTTTCAGCATCATATTCAGCAAATATTTATACTTGGTCATTTTTCTGCCACTTTTACCGTTTTTTTTTCTTTTGGTTCCCTCTGTTTGGAAGCTCTCAGAGATTTGCCTTTTCTTAAGCGTAAGTGAAATAAATTAAGGCCTGAGGCAGTTATAGCTCCTTCCAGAAATGTGTGTCTCCAATGAATGTAGTTACTGTGAAAAAGGAGAAGGAGAAATATCCTTATTTTTATTTGATACCAGAAGAATATTTTGGTCATTTTAGTGGTATCTAAAGTTAGCCTACTCTAACTGCCTTAAAAACGTTTAATTAATAACGATCAGAAATAGGCTTTCCCTTTCTTTTTGATAAAGTAACTCATATTTAAATGATTGATCACTCAGTAATGCACACTAATACCTACTATGTATTGGGGCACTGGTCTAAGTTCTGAGGTTATAAGATTCAATTAGATAAATTCTTCTATTTTGGAGAGCTTACACTTAAGCCAGAAGTCCTTCAGTTCTTCAATATAAGCAGTATCTTTTCTTATCTCTAAAATTGGAGGAGTAGAAAAAGTTTTGTTCTGGAAGGAAGTGTGGAAACATGGATACTAATCTAGGCTTTGTCACTAACAAGTTGTATATGGCTTTAAACAGAACTACCATTTCTGGCCGGGCATGGTAGCTCACGCCTGTAATCCTAGCACTCTGGGAGGCCAAGGCGGGAAGATCGGTTTAGCTCAGGAGTTTGAAACCAGCCTGAGCAAGAGTGAGACCCTGTCTCTACCAAAAAGAAAAACATCAGCCGGGCCTTGTGGTGCGTGCCTGTAGTCCCAGCTACTTGGGAGGCTGAGGTAGGAGGATCGCTTGGAGTTGGAGGTTGCAGTGAGCTACAATGACACCACTGCACTCTACTCAGGGCAACAGAGTGAGACTCTGTATGAACAATAACAACGAAAAAAAGAATTACCATTTCTGGGCCTGAATTGCCATACCTGTAAAATGAGGGGATTGGCTACCTGATCTCCATGCTTAGTCATCTCCCCAAATAATTGAAGTTCCGTGGTACCTTTTCTACATAGAGCTGCGCAAATCTTTACATGGAGTATGTAGTAGGAGGCAAAGTACTGCTTAGCATTTGTAATAAAGAGGCCAGAAAGGTAAGAACCACAAAACATGTGTTTGAATGTTTAATTAATGTAAAGTTTATAGTAAGTGTGGAGAAACTGATGTTGATAAAATGAGTAACTTCCCATTCACTCCATTGTTTCTTGTCCTTGTAGCCTAGTCTAGAAAGTTTAAAAAGTTTTTACAATTGTCCTCTAAGTCTTTTGTCCCTGTGTCTTGTGTCCCTTGTGTCCCTGTTTGCCTCTTTTTCAGAGTGGCTCTAGCAAGAGCAGATCCTATGGCACGCCCATTCTAGGTATAAAAGCCCATCTCCTTTGGCATACTTCTTACATACTTTATGGGCACAGAGAAGTTTGCAGTTTGCAGCTAGTTTGGTGTTCTTGTCCTTGGAGAGTTAGTTTCGGTTAATTAACCTAGCATAATTTTGAAAATAGCTGAGTGATATAAAATGAATGAAGATAAGTAATTTGGAAGCTCTCATTATTATGCTGTTCTGTTTTTCCATGTATTATGGTAGTCACATTAAAATGGACAGGAACTCATAAATTTATTTCTAGACATATGTGATATCTTGGCATTATACAAAGTATACATTCTTCCACCCAATAAGTAATTTCCGCAATGTCTCCAAATTGGTAAGTGCATGTATAGCACAGAAATGAAGAACTGGAGCTTGAAAGTTAGGCAGACCTGGATTTGAGTCTTGGCAGTACCACTTTCTAGGTGTTTTTTGGTAAGTTTAGTTACTATACTTTGTCTTTTTGCCTCCATTCACTTTTTCGTTCACTCAGCTCTCTATCCATCCGTGCATCCATCATACTATATTTATCCTGTTCCAATTATGTGCAATTATTCTAGATACTGGAGATACAGTAGTGAATAAAGCAAATCTCTGCACTTATAGAGTTCCCATTCTGTTTGAGAGAGACAAACAAAAACGTATATATTATAGTGTGTCATATTGTACTCAGTGCTATGAAGAAAAATAAAGCCAGATAAGAGATAATGAGGATGTATGTTTTTATAGGGCAAAGGTTGAGATTTTAAATTTTAAAGTGTATTGTCTAGGAATTTATTTTCTCATTAAGGTGACATTTGAGTAGAGAGTAGGAGTGTGGAATGAACCATGTTGATATACATATAGTGACGTGGTCAGATTAGGGAAGACAGCTACTGAATTCTAATATGAGGAATGAGAGCATCATCCTTGCCCACGATAAGGGCTTTGTCGGAGCAAGTTGGATATGAAAGTTCTTTTGGCCTGGTGCATATCATTTATTTTAAATGCCACTACCTGAAATTAAATCATTTTCAGTTTTAGAAAGCTATTTCATATCTAAACCCATTTGGGTATTTTTAAAAATGCATTTAAAAATCTAGTTTAAAATGTCAGGCTTAAGGGATTTGATAACTTTTTGTTCAAAGTGTACATATCTATAGACAAAGATTTTGAAGTTTTAAAGTTATTTTTATTTGTTTACCCAAGCTAGAAGAGTATTGTATTTTGCTTTTTCATAACAGAAGCAGCTTTGAATGGTTTTTCTTGCCCACTGCTGTGGAGGAGGCCTCCTTTTGGCAATTCTTTTCAAACAGGATTATTTCTTTTGTCTGTGAATTTCAGCACCAATACCTAGGTCCTACATTTAGGAGCTTGATGTAAATAGTGTTTGTGTCTCTACTTACCCTGAAAGTCAAGTGTTTCTAATACCCATTGCAACGTAAGGTAATTTTCTTCATATTTCATGAAATGTCTTGCTTTATTTCTTAGAGGCTATGAGTAGTCAGTAGAGGTAAAGAATGGACTGTAGGAGTGAAGAGGTAACAGCAGCACCCATCATGGGGTGGGGTGTGTATTGGTATCCTGGGCCTTTATTCTTAGATCCCTGGGGAATAGTTATCTTTTTGCATTGTCAACTTATTCATTTGGGAAGTGGACTTGGATACGAGATGCTGCATGAAAGTAAATGTCTGGTATCCGCAGTAATAGGCAGTGAGCAGGGAGGAGTTCCTGGGGCTCAAGGATGTGATGTGTCAACCTCTGCCCCTATGAAACTGACGCAGTGTCATGTACTTTCCCACTCTGATGCAACTTGATACCTGGACCAGTGCTTCTGGAGAATGTGCTAAAAAGAGATACTACCTGCTACATACACATAGTAAACCCTTTGTGAAGTATCATTGGTAGGTGATATGGGGCTTTAGTTTTTCTGTGGGACTTTGAAAATCGGAAATTTTGGTACCTTTAAGGACTGTGAAATCTAGAGTGATAGCTTTGTTTTACATTTAAGAGCCTGTCTTTTAAAAATTGATGTTATATAGCAAATGATCTCACACAGGTTTTCTATGTGTTTGGTTGGAAGGCAGGACTTGGCAGAGCTTGGTAGGGATGGAGCCATAGTTATCACTAATTTACCTACAGAAACCATTTTGTTGTTAAAAAATGGACATGGTTGTTGGTGAGCTGAGAATGTGTGGACACAGGAACTGAAAATCCTGAGAGCCCATTTTTGTTACTGTTAGGTCGAGAGTAGCTATTATTATGCTCATTATTCCCACATTTATATCTCTAGACCTCGCAACTTCAAGTCACTGTAATTTACTTGGGCATTTCAGACATATCAACTTTAGCATCTTTGAAACTAAAGTCATTTTCTTTCTCAATAACCAGCTCCCCTCTTATTCTCTAGCTCATTAAATGGTACCACTTCCTCAAGATAGAAAACTTATTCTTGTCGCCTTGCTCTTCCTCACACTCATAAGTCTTACATATTATTCCTCTCAAATATCTCTTAATTACCTTTCTCTCTTTCTGCTGCCCTGGTGTGTCCGCATAGTGCCAGCCTTTGTAATCTGTCGCCTCTGCTCCTGCCATAACCTAACTGGCCAGCAGTTCTTTGTCTAGGATTGCTCCCCCGCAGTCTATCCATCCATTATGCAACAGCCAGGAAAAGCTTTTTAAAATGCAGATTTGATTAGTAGATGTTTAAACTTCTTCAGTGAATTTTTTATTACTCTTAGGATCACACCTGATAATCTGCGCAATCTGGTTCCTATCTTTGTCTCCATGTTTTTTTTTTTTTTTATTGGTCCACAGTTTGACATTTATGAAACATACCAGCTAGTATTACAATGCAGTCAAATTTTTCCATTAATGGTATTACTCTGATACTTATTCAAATCTGTTCCAGGTATATATATTGAAAATATTTTCTTTTGCATTCTTGCTGAAGATAGGTACAGTACTTTGGAGAAATTGTACTAATCCCTTCAGTATGTTTGTATGTACATATATACACAAACGTGTATCTGGATCTGTAGCTCTACATGCGTTTTATATACAGCTACAGACGTACACACATGTACACACACGTGGCTGGGAACCTGTGCATGTGTGTATATCATCACAAGCAGACGCTGGGAAACTTCAACACTGTAAGAGACTGGTCAGATTCTTCTTCACTCATCACTGGCTGCACTTGTTCCCCTCACTTGACCTTGATTACGTAAACAGTTTCATATTGTCTCTGACCCTACAGGGGACTCATCTAGACATCAGCAGCCGACGTGCCTCAAACGGAACCCTTCTTACGCATTGTTTCTAATTCTTTCTGGGTCTCATCTTCCATCCTCCTAATGTCTTCCATTGTCAGATCAATCCACTTGTCAATCCAACAAAAAAGCTGGCAATGAAAGTTTGTAAATATCCTTTTTTCCTGCTTCCAAATGAAGTTTTCTACTTTGCTCTGCAGTCCCCACCACTTGAATTTGATGGTCACCAGCTTATAGGCACACATCTGAGGACAGTCAGGGCTGTTTGCTAGCTCCTTCCAGTTGGGTCCCAAAGGGCCTCTCTTGGTCTTGACTGACTGGAGTAATGCTGGGTCTTCATCAGCTTTGTAGTCTGCTGGTTCAACTTGACTTCGATCTGCAATATCTATGTGGACAATTTCAGCAGTTTTCCACGTGTTTGGATCTAAACCGTGTACATTTTCTAGTGTTCCCAAGTCTGGTTTGTGCCATGTTTCAATTTTAATGAAGAAATCATCTTTCATATATTCATTCGTTACAATTGTTCTACAGTAGGGGTATGCATTCCAGGCTTTCTCATGAAACACCAAGGAGCCCTCAGGAGCAATCATCCTCATGAATGCAGGAACTTTGCTCTTTAGGTGATAAATTTTGTGTGTATACTGTCCCTTTTCTCCATCCTTCTCATAAGGTTCATTCTTTAAGACTTCAATTCCTTCTCCACCGCCGGTCTCATTCTTACTAGCTTCTGCAACAGAGTAAAGCTGCCCAACCTGATACTCCTGAACAGAACATGGCAAAACCACACGGAATTCCTTAATCAGCACCATTTTCCTGGAACCCCCTCACAGCTGCCGCCGCTACCGCTACCGCCGCTGCCGCTAGCGCCTCTCACGGCGACTGCCTGTCTCCATGTTTTGCACGGTATGTTCCCTGTGCCTGGGATGTTCTTTCCCCCATCTATACCAGTCCAGTTCCTGCTTATCTTTCAAGTCTTGGCTTACATTTTTCTGCCTTATGAAAGGCTTTTCTGACCATGCACATACCTTGTTGTCCCTAGACTAAGTTTGGTTTCCCAGAACATACTTTCATTAAACTCTGTACTTTTCTTTTATAGCTCTTACATCAATTGTAAATAAAGAATTATTTGTCTGTCTTCTCCCCTTGCATGGTGTGTTAGTCTGCTCGGGCAACCATAACCAAATACCACAGGCTGAGTGGCTTAAGCAACAGAATTTTTTCTCATAGTTCTGGAGACCAGAAGTCTAAGATCAAGGTGCCAACATGGTGAGTGTCTGGTAAGGGCTTTCTTCCTGGCATGCAAGACAGTGGCCTTCTTGCTATGTGTTCATATGGCCTTTTCTTGGTACATGTGCCCATGGGTGGAGGGGTAGATTCTCTGTCTTCTTCTCTAAGGCCACTAGCCCTATAGGATTAAAGCCCCACCTGTGTGACCTCATTTAACTGTAATTACTTCCTAAAGACCCTATTTCCAAATATAGTCAAGTTGAGGGTTAAGGCTTCAATATGTGAATTTTGGGGAGACACAGTTAAGTCCACAGCAGGTGGTAAGCTCCATGAGGTCAGGACCATGTTGTGTGGTATAGCACTTTATTCCCAGGGCCTAGAATAGAGTTTAACACATAGTAGGCAACCATTTGGGCCTGTTCCAAACGTGGGTATGGTCTGTCACAAATAAAGCTATAAATGTTCAATAGTTTTAAATAGAGCTAATAAATGTGTTGTATCTTCCTACCTCTAGAAATACAGTTTCATAATAACAAATGAAAAATATATGTGTAAAGGTATTGATTTTTTAAAAATAGATACATGTTAACTTATTATTAATAAGGGAACCTGGTGGATATAACAGCCAGTTCAGCGAAGAAGTGAAAGAAGCACAAATTTATATGGAGTAAAGGAATGTTGAAATGAATTTACTAATGGTTACAAAATTGAATTTTTCCATAGGGTGAAGGGAAGTCAGTTGAACCTCCACTATACAGAATTTATAGGCATGTATGTAGATAAGAATTTTGCATTGCCATCAGTTATCTGTAACTTAACAGAATTGTGAAATAGCTCAAAGGCAATAAAAGACTAGAACCAAATAAACCAGAAGAGTATTCTCTAAACAATACATAATTTTCCATCGGAAGTACCCAGTAATCTTCCCCCTACCCCCACGTTTTGCTTTTTCCAAATTTCTATACAGTCTCTAAACGTTTCATCTAAAATAATCTCACATTGCTTCTCAGCCTTTTGGCTAAGATCAAGTATAAAATAATTTCAAACATTTTTGATTATAAAACAAGGGTGGTCTCATTAGGTCTGGCTTGATTATTTGCATAGTATTGCAAGAATGTTAATTTATCACCAGGCCTTCTTAAGTTTGCTTTGCAAAGAATCTCAGATTGGATTTAACGGCCTTAGTTATTTGTATTTTGAGGCTAGGAAGTCAAGCCTAAGAAACTTTCCATCAGATTTCACCTGCAGTACCTATAATTTTGGGTGAATTCCTCTCGTTTCAAGGTCCCCAGCATATCCTAAAGGCTTGCCAGGAGGTGATCTTCCTTACCATCTGTAAGACTGGACCCTGCAAAGGCAGGTATCAGGCCAGTTTTCCTAGGGGGGTTTGTAAGTATCAACTCCATATAGTCAACCATAGGTCCTTAAAAGTGCCTTGTTATACCTCATTAAGTGAGCGTCATCATTCTCAAATGTGACATTTTAGGCAAGCCATTGGCTATACAACCATTTTTTACAATTATGTTCTGGTAAAGCAGAGAACGGATTCTTATTAAACCTGTACAAATTAACTATTGCCTTGAAAAGTAAGGAGACTGAGTAAGACTTTCTCAATTCTGGATTGGAGGGAGGGTCAGTGGAATCAGATGTGATTTAGGAGTGTCTTGTTTTACAAGACAAATTTACTAAATTGTTAAGGGTTATAGATAGCTTAAGGAGGAAGAGAATGGATTCTCTTACATATTTAGAAAATGGACATTAAAACAGTATTTCAAACAAATAACTACAGTCGTCCCTCATCTGTTCATTCAGTCCTGTGTAATTCTCGTTTCACTGGGTCTTAGGTTAGTAGTCTGCTTCTCGACTAAAAAAAGTTCTATAAGTTCTGACTCAGTCCACTGGAATGATCTGGAAGTTGTCCAGTTTTTCAAGTGATGCTGTTGGAAGCCGTATCCAAGAGTCTATTCTTTGATGTGTCAGTAGTTTTTAAATACCTACTACAGTCCTTTTCCATGGAGCTCTGCGGCAGTCCTTCTTTGTTGAAGATGTAGACTCTCGCTTCTAGTTGATTGCAGAGCCTTCAGACAAATGTCAGTGTAAAACAGAATCTGTTTGTAGATGACAGAGACTTAAAATGCCTGTGGTTAATTTATTGCTAATAATTTTTAAATATGAAAATTCTGATAAAAGTTTCTATATAAGAATAATGCAACTAACAAGAGAATTAAGTTGTTTCTGGGCATGCAAAATGAGAATAAAAAAGCCAGTCCAAAAAGCTTTAGCAAAATGTCTCTAAGAGTTTTTTTCAAAGACAATGAATGTTATATCTGATTTATAAAATGTGGGTGAACATAATTTTTACAGGAGAAAAAATCTTGATGTATATAGCATATAATAATCTAGTGGCATGTTACACATACCAAGAACATACTAAGAATATACTCAGTGTGTCTGGTAAGTCCTAGACGTCTGTATTTTTCTAAAACTCCACTGACCCAGAAGAGACTAGATTCAAATTTTTATAATAAGATTGTTACTAAGTAAGTATTTTAGATAGTAACTGAAATTAAGGATGAAAACACTAAACTATTGTCCTAAAATCTAGCAAAGCACTGCCAGGACTTAGAAACATATTATAGATAATGAGGACATTGACAAATGTCTAAGAACTTCCCATTAACTATACAATTTCCAGAATATTTTTATTAACAGCATTTTACCTGTACAAATTTAACCTAAGGAAGGCTGAGCATCTCTTCTGATTAGACAACTATTCCCATGAAATTCATCAATAATAAAATATCAAGTAAATCTAATTGTTTTAGCACCTCTCTAAAAAGACAAAAGAACACATCTTTGTGTTTTTTCCAGGGATGCTCTGGGATATCTCAGAGATAGTTTTAGGCATTAAAAATATATTGAAAGTTTTATTTTATTATAATCTATATTTAGGATATGATTTTGGGAAGGCAAAACTTCAAAGAGTTGTTAATGGAAACACTTAAGATAGGATTGTTGGTGCTTGAGAATTAGTACGTGGTTACTTATTTAACCAAAATGATGATAAAACATTTAAAAATATAACATAGAAGGTAACACAATTTTCAATAACCATAGCTTTTCACAAGGAACTGCAAGTTTTTTGTTTTCTTAAATAACTAAGGACATAATAAATCAGCATAAAGCACAGAAAACTTTTCTAGCAAGACACAAAATATTTGCTGTCTAGGTATATTACACAGAAAAAAGAAACCTTTAATATTGTAGTTGAAGGCAGCAAACAGGAAACCAAGGAGACTGACTTGCCAATATTGAGCAGACTTTGCTATGATTTCAACCAGTTCATAGCTTTTTAGACTGGTGTATTGTAAACCATGTCAAACACAATTCACATTCCAAATTTTGTCCTTCGTTAGTCTTTGTATTTTGAAACAAACTTATACTTTACTTGAGGACAGGTTTTAGGGGGTCTTCAAGGTCAGAATTAATTTTATGATAATACTAAGAAGGTGTTATTAATGTGCAATGCATTTTTTAATGCTATCTTTAAATGAATCAATAAATAAGAATTTTTTTAATGTCTCAGTTTTCATTTCTTTTCTTTTTTCTATTTTTCTTTTCTTTTCTTTTTTTTTTGGTGGGGGGGACAGGGTCTCTCTCTGTTGCCCAGGCTAGAGTGCAGTGGCATCATCATAGCTCATGGCACCCTCAAACTCCTGGGCTCAAGTGATCCTCCTGCCTCAGCCTCCCAAGTAGCTGGGACTACAGGTGTGCACCACCATGCCCAGCTAATTTTTTGCATTTTTTTTTAGGAACAGGGTCTTGCTATGTTGCTCAGGCTGGTCTTGAACTCCTAATCTGAAGTGATCCTCCTGTCTTGGCCTCTCAAAGTGCTGGGATTACAGGTGTGAGCCGCTGTGCCTGGGCTTGGTTTTCATTTCTAATTCAGTAATCATTGATAGTTATAGCCTGTAGAAATAAACTGGGGTCCTCAAAAAGTTTTGTTTGACGAATTTTGACATATACATACACCCCCCTATGTAACTATCACCGTAATTAATATGTAGAACATTTTTGTTACCCCAAAATATTCCTCATATAGTTTTGCAGTCAATCCCATCTTCTACCTCTTGACCCCATGCAACCACTGATCTGCTTTTTGGCACTATAGATTAGTTTTGCCTTTGGTAAAATTTTGTATAAATGAAAATCATAGAATATCTGTTCTTTTGTATCTGGCTCCCTCCATGTTTTAGTACTCCTGTCCTTTTAATGCTTAGTATTACCTTGTGTGACTATACTGCTATGTGTTTGATGGATATTTGAGTTGTTTCCTGTTTTGGGATATTATGAATAAAGCTGCTGTGATTGTTCATGTGTAAGTTTTTTTTATGGGAATATATTTTCATTTCTCTTAGGTATATACCTGGGATTGGTCAGACCATAAAATCAATGGCCCAGTCATTGCTGCCACCAAGTGGGAGTAACTTAGTCATAAACAAATGTCAAACAAAACCCAGTTATATAGAGGAAAATTAAAATTAGAATAGTGGAGATTCAGCAAACTACAGATTTACATCTGGGAGCCAACTTCAGATTGCCACTTCAGATTTACTTATGGTAGCCAAGAACCAATGTGCCTGGGCAGCC